TGAAGTCAAAGGAGACCTCAGCCATCTCCTGGATGTGTTAGAAGTCCCGTCTAATGTTGGACCAGACAGTGTTTTCTATAGTTTTCCTTTTAAGTAGATACCAGTTGTCAAATCTCAAAGGTACTCTGCGAGTGAAAGCCTTGTTATCCTTGTGTAAGACTAATCTAAAGAAAAGTAATTACTTGCCACTGGAGATAGCTTTATTTTTAGTTGGAGCAGGGAGGGGCTCTGTTACTGCAATTCCATGGGAAATGAAAGCACTTTGGGAATATTCCTAGGTGGTTCAACCCACTGTTTTATGTGCAAGCCTTTGCCAGTGGCTTTCTTGGCTTTCTGCAGCAGGAAATAGCTAGAATTAGCTGAAGCTGGTGCAGTGAGTTGAGGACACAGGGGTTTTGTTTTCTTTTTTCCAGTCCCCAGGTAAATCCTTTCTTGAGGCTGGACCAACATGCAGAATGTCCTCAAATCCTGTAAGGTTAGGACAGAAATCTGTATCGGGGTTTCCAGTGTTTCTTTTAAAAGCAGCAGTGTCTCCCAAGCACGAGGAGGAGGAGGAGATACTGACTTTTGCTGCAGGTTTCTTGCCTTGGTGCAGTCACCTTTGGTAGGTAAACTAACAAAATGTCAATAGTGTAAGTGTCCCAAAAACTGGAAAGGTCATTCTTGAAAATCCAGACAGACCAGTTAAGAATGAAGCCTGATATTGAGCCCTCTTTTTTGCTATTTTGAGGCTTGTATTAGTTTGGTCATAGATGAGACCTTAAGCACTGGTTTTAAGCAGTTCATGATTTGGTATATTCAGTATAGTAATTGAATTATTATTTGAAGGAGGCAGTGAAAGTGCTGGTTTGTGATTGTTTCCTTTCTAAGTGGTTTGCTGCTTTCAATTTAAGATTCAATTTGGCAAATTAAGATTCAATTTGGCCTACCATTTAAGCATGTGTTGAAATATCCTAGTAAAGTCAGCTGGATTTAAGGTTGGCTCAATTGGTGCCTTACCCATCTAGTTCTTTAAAAGCTTATGTATGAAGGATTAATTATTTTACTGTTGGCAGCTTTTGCACTTTCTAGCTGCATGAATGACATTCAGTGTGTTCCTTAAGACTGAGGGAATCTTTGTTTTTATTTTTCCATCCCCAGACTTGAGAGCTGCAAAATTTTAGTTTTAAAACCTGGAAAAATTGTCCCACATGCACTCTGAAGCCCCAAAACCAGAACATTTAAAAGCAAATATTGGGGATGCTTGCGCTCCTGTCCCTGGCGTTTGCGAGCCTGTGTTTGTTAACGTTCGTGTTACTTAGGCTGTAGTTTGCACGTCCCTCGTTGCCTTGGGAGTGCCCAGAGTTTCTCCTTGGCTAAAATTGTTCAAACAAACTCAACCTCCGCTCTGGAAGTCTTGGCTGGGGCTGATATCTGCGGGTGTAGAGGAGGCTGCGCGCCCGGCCCTGAGGACCCTTCCTGCTCGGGTGGATGTCCCTGGACGAGAGCGGGAGCTTTTCCTGCCTCCTGATGCTGAGCAGCCGCCGCTGCGTTTGGGCAGGGGGGTTTCGCGTGCGCACTGATGTGATGCACATTCCTCCGAGGGCAAACTGGGCTCCGGAGCGTTTCCGTTCCCTCCGCCCAGCCCGCGACTAACGTTGGTGCCTTGTCAATGACGCTGCCTGAAATGTCCCGTGAGGGCGAGCGCCGGGGGAGCGGCCACGTGTGCCAGGAGAGCCGCGCTCGGCTGGCTTGTAAGCTGGGATTTGGGGTATTCTTGCCAAATATTACATTCCTGCAAGGCTTCCGCACTCTTGTATCATGGTCTACAGGCAGCACCGTGGAAATATCACTGCTTTTTTGCGTTGGATCGGCCGAGAAACGGGTCCTGCGGTGAACAGCTTACGTCTTTAATGCCTCTCTGAAGGTCAAGCGGAGCAGCTGCCTGTTGTCCCGCTGTTGCCCCTCGCTGAGGATGGTTCCTTATTTCTGAATCCTTGCTGGTTTCCAATCCCACAGAAACCTGCTGGGGAGGCTCTTTGAAGCTGGTTACCTTCTTGGCTACTTCTACCCTGAATCAGCAGCATTTCACTTGCTTAAACTTCACTTGCCTAAACTTGAGGGGATGTCTGCATGGTGCATGGTTAGGAAGGGAATTTGTGTGTTTTATGTATTTCAGCAGTGCAGGGTAGTGTGCAATCAACTGGTGCTAGTTGCTGTATAAATATGTAGGAATAGTTTCTCTCTTAAAGCATAAGACCATAGCAGGGGGGACAAGAAGTAAGATATTTGAGGGAGTGGGATTGAGTCTTGTTGATGCCCAATCAACTGGTGCTAGTTGCTGTATGAATATGTAGGAATAGCTTCTTCCTTAGAGCATAAGACCATAGCGGGGGGACAAGAAGTAAGATATTTAAGGGAGTGGGATTGAGTCTTGTTGATGCATGTTCTTGAAGTGATAAAAAAGGGGAGGAAGGTGTTTTTCCCTATTTGCAGGCTCAGTCTGTCACACTGCTCTCAAGGTTTTTGTGGAATGAGTAGAGCCTCTAAAGAAGTGGAAACTCCAGCACCGAGGCAGGGCCACAGCCGTAGGCTCTGCTGCCTGCTCTTGAGGTGGAGGCTCCTGCCCAGCTGCGGTCCCTGGGTTTATTCCTTGTTTGGGAGCTTTGTGAAACACCCAAATTTGAACTTTGGGATGAATGATAGGAACTTACTGGAAGCCAAGAAACTCATCGTTATTTGGAGCTTCTGTCCCTGATATCTGCAGTCTTGGTGCAGTGAGCTACGACCTCTTGTCATGAAAGGTTTGTGGTAGAGCATAAAGTGCTCGTGAGGAAGCTGTTCTAGAAATCTGGTTGTTGCCTGTCATTGAGGAGCAGAACAACCTTGGCCTGTTCAGCTTGTATCAGGACTCCTGGAGGAAAACCAAGACAGCAGCTTAAAAGTGCCAGTGAGATATAATACCTGCCTCATGCCAAAGGTTGTAGGAATGATTTGCTAGGAGTTGTAGGAATGTTTGCTTCTTGATGGATTCTCCTTGGGCAGGAATCTTCTCCATCTGTATCTCACTTGTAAGGACATGGGAAGAAATGCAAAGTCAGTGGGTGTCTCTTCTGTGAATGGCAAAGGGGCCACGTTTTTCACCGATACACGTTGACACCGTGTGTCACCATTCTAGGGCCCCAGCTCTTGGTGCTGGAGATGGAGCCACTGCTGCACTTCGACTCGGGTGCTTTTTCTCTAGATTAATTTTCTATAGTGTAGCCTTTTTGGTTTAAGATCAGCTACATGGCAATGAGGGCTGCAGCAGCTTCAGCAGCGGGTCTGTCTTGTGTGATTGCAAACACCACGGCTGAGAACGTGTTTCCAGCCCTGCGGCATCACCACAAGACCATTATCCCCAGGATGCTTTGTAATTATTTATAGCTAACGTTATTAATAGGAGAAAGGAAGGATGTTCTTTCCCATGTGAAAGCAAGGCAAAATCTTTATCATTAGACTCAGTGTTCACACAAGTGCTCATACAGAGCCTTTTGTTGTGGAGATCCACCACTCTGCTTGTGTGGGTTGTGCTCCGAAGCCTGGTGGGACTCCTGCAAGACCCACGTTGGCTGCGTGAGGGAGGGCACGTGGGTGCTTCTCATAATGTCACAGCCCGTGCTCCTGGGGAGGAAGCGACCCCAGGCTGGAGCTGCTGCCCGTGTTGCTCGATGCTATCGCCCTGCTCTGCGACGCTGATCGGCTTACCAGGAGGCTCCGGTTTCCCAGCTCGCAGGGCGAGGGAGGAAGGAGGAATCACCCAGTTGAATTGGAAATGCGGACATGACTTTGCTTCTCGTGTCGCCTCTCAAACCACAATAAAGGGAGAAGCTCTTGGGAAGCAGGGCCATCTGCGCAGGTCAGGGTAGCGGGATCCACTCGCTGGCTTGTTGTGTATAACGTGGTACCTCCGAGTTGAGCGCTTTCAGGAACGTGTCTCTGCTTTTTCTTAGGCAGATGGGTGGAAAGAAGGGCTGTTAAGGAGCAAGGTGTTTCACTCTGTGGTATAATGCAAGGTCATGTTGCAAAGGATGTCTGGGTGTGCTGGAGCGAGGTGAGGTTCCCCTTTCCCCCCTTTCCTCCCCAGCTTGCACTGTTACTGAAGGATGATTTTTTTGCAAATCAAGTTACTTTGTAAGTAACTGGAGAATGAAGGAAGAACCTCTGTCTGAGAGATTGTAACTTATCAGAGAAGTGTTACAAAACTGGACATCAGAATGGCTTTAAAAAAATGGTGGCTTTTGCCTTCAGTAAATGCTGGTGCCTATGTCTGTTCCCCCTAAGCCTCTTCCAAATGTAAAAGTGCTGTTTCTTCATGGCTGAGTGAAATAAAAGCTCTATAAACTTTTAAAATGCAATTTTGCTGTGTAATGTGATGGCATAAAAATGGCACTTCATTCTGTTCATGGGTCCATTCACCAGGAGTAGTCAGCATGAAACCACTTGACCAACAAATAACTGAACTGCTACTGTGCTGAGAAATGAGTTGGATGGTTTCCCTTAAGTGATCTGATAAACAGAATTCTTGCCTAATACCTCATAGAAGATGAAGCTGTTGAAGCAGTTGGTCTTTCAACCTGTTGGATCTTATTTCTGTTAATGATGGAAAACCCAATGGAACCTGTAGGGCAGGGTGTGTGTAGAGTCCATGGTTCTAAATGGAGATATCTGGTTTGGAGGGATATGAAGTGGGATACAGAGCCCTGTTACATCAAATCTTAAGTCGCTTTTTAGAATAAGACTTAAGATGCCCATAGTTGGTGAATGTGTGTTTTGGATCACTGAATGTATGCTTCTTATTACCTTGTCTAGGATCTCTTCTTCTACTACTTATTCCCCTTTCGCTTTATATTCATTTTCTAAAATACTTTAAATGTAACACACTGTTTTCTGCTTTCAGAAATGAGTACAACGTCCAGCCCTACATGACACGCTGAGGACGTTCTGCGCTGCCTGGGGATCAGTCAGTCCAGGAGGTTGTGATGCCCAGGAATCTCCTGTCGGACCTTTCCGAAATGGCATCTGAAGTCACCCCGAATCACGTGGAGATGGGTGATGGTGCAGAGAATCGCAGCACCCAAGCCAGGTGCAGAAATGCTGCCTCGGTAAGCGTTGAATGAGCCTTATGCTTAATGAAACAAGTTACATCAGTAGCTTGGTTTGCACCACTGTATTTTTAATTCTTAAGCGTTGATCTTTCACAATTCTAGTCATGAATGGTTGACATGTTGGTTGCTAATTCACTGGAAGGCCAGAAATAACTGCTGGGATCCGGTGCAAAGACTTGTTAGTCTGGTCTGACTGTAGCCTGGGGAGTGTTTCTATCCAGATACTGCTTTTCCATGGCATTAAGGGACACGTGTTGCACTGGCACTGCTGCCAGTATGTGCCATAGAGCTCAGTGAGCATTTCTGCCTGTAAAATGATCTGAGGATAGTGCTTGGTTCTTTGTGTTGTTTCTTGCTTAAGCTTCTTGTTGACTTTTGTGAACAAAGGTCTCAGCTTATTCCACCTTCATATAATTAGGTGAGTAACGAGTATATCACCATAAACAAAGTTGTCTTCACGTTAGTGAATATGAGTGTGTGGCCACTTAAATGGCATGTGAGTAATTGAGGGAGTAGGATGCGCTGCTGCATTTTTACGATTAGCAGGATGATTCAGACGATGAATTTGTGTTTTGCTTTGTGACAGACCAAGCCCAGAAAGCA